AAAAAAAAAAAAAAAGGAAAATCGAAATGATTGAAACATTTTTTTGTTAAAAAAAAAATCATGGGATAAATCAATTAGTATTCAAACAGTTAAATAATCGTAGATAAAAATTATCATAGTCAAAACGAAATGAAAGTGAATGTGCAATTTGCTATTGAAAAAATTATTATTATCATCAAACATCTGGATAATCTAGAAAAGGTAACAAAAAAAGAGTAAAATTAATGAAGCATAATAAAAAAAAAATGCTTCGCCTACTTATCGAAAGCAATACAAAAAAAAAGAGAGAGAATATTGTTGATATTAATATTATTATTATGGTTGTTGTATATGATGTTGTTGTTTTAAAAAAAAAAAGAGGAATGGATGAATAAAAAAAAAAAAAATTAATTATTTTTAAACTCTATATTTATTTCTATAGTAATATATATGGCATCACCGCATTTGAACGCTAATGTACATTTATGAATTAAATACAATTATTAATTAATTAATTAATTAATACTAAATGCTTTGTCGTGTATAATAATACGTCGTTTATTTAAATTACATTTAAAGCATTAATAATCATCATCATTATCATCATCATTGTCATAATATCACTCGTATTTATTATTTATTTATTTATTTATTTATTAATATATTTATACATAGGCGCGCGTTTGTGTGTGTGTGTGTGACCGTGTGTTTAGTAAATCAAAAGAGAAAAATTATTTTAAATCAATAAGCATTTATATTAATTATTTAATAATTAATTGTAAGTATTCTATTGATAATTTAACTTCATTTTGTTTTTTTTTTTTTTTTGCTTAATTTTTAATTGTCTTCACGAGTAGCATTGCTTTAATATCATTATTATTTATTAATAGGTTTTGTAATATGTTGTTTATTGATGATGAATTATGCATGAATTTATGATTGAAATTCTTCTTTGTCTTCATTTCTAGAATAAACCCACCTCCAATAAGCGACCTGGTATGGAAAAAAATAAAAGTATTAGCAGTAGTGGTAGAAGTAGTAATAATAATAATAATAATAATATAATGAATAAGTCGGAAGCATGTGGAGGGGAAAACAAACCTTCATTCTATCCCAAATGTTTTCAAATGAGTCCATAGCTGGTCGAACATCCAACAAAGCAAATTTATAATTTTTATCAACGAGTCCACCATCGTAATAATCGATTATGTATCTGACTTCTTTACCGCATCTGTCGATGATCCAATCGTGTCTGTCGAATGGATATTCATATCTGCAACAGGTTAACATTATTATTATTATTTCTTCTTTTTTCTGTAACTTTTATACCTTTAAAAAAAAAAAAATGTTTTACCCCATCAAATGCCTGATTCTAGCTCTTGGCGAATAATTTGTCGCTTTACCACCGAAACTTTTCAATTTTGGATTGTTGCATTCTTTCGCATGCAATGCTTCCCATTTTAAAACTTCTTGCCAAGCTGATTCGTTATTTGCATTGTGAATTTTAATTATGTCATCCATGTCTTTTTGCCTTATGTCATCCTCTTTCCATCTCCATCCTTTTCTCAACATTGCATTCCAAAACATTTGCTGACTCGGGTAAACCCAAAACGATCCATCTGATTTCGGTATGGAGGATACTTCTCTATCGGTTGATAAGGGAAACGGTTGATCCGGTGCTGGAGATTGATTCGGAGATTCCATCTAAAAAAAAATTCGAATAAAAAATTGTTAAGTTAATTGATAATCTCCCTCCCGCCCCCTAATAAAGTAATTATGTTTACCATATTTTCATAATTAAAATCCGAACCAAACGACACCGGACATTCGGATATAAATTTTTTAGGTTGTACATTTTTCATCGGACACTGAGACGCTGTATAAATAACATTTTTTTTTTTCAATTGATCCGTTTGAAATGAAATTGGACCGAATCCTTTAATTATTTCTTCTGCCATTATTTCCGATGCCGACAACGTTCCTCCCATGTTTTCCTGAATGAAACAAAACTTTTAATTTTGAAATGTTTTTTACCTATAACTAAATATTTCTTTTTTTTCTTTTTTTTTTTTTTCTTTATTTTATTTTTATTTTTTTTAAAAATCCCTTTCACTAAATTTTTTTCATTTTTCAGACGCCATATTAGCTTTTGTATGTGTTATTATGAAATTCAATGGTAAATCGTAAAGGCAAAGGAAACATAAAAAAAATGTTTTTCTAACATTTGGAGTCTTTTATATTTTCAATTTCAATTCGATAATTATTTTGAAAATGATTTAAAACATCAGAGCCGTACTACGAAATCCATTCTAATCCGTATATAGTTATAGAATATAATTTATCACAAAGGAAAAATTAAAAGGAAAATTTCAATTCGCAAAGGTTAGTAACCATTTTTTTTTTTAAATAGTTTTTATTCGTAACGTTTCGGTTGTTGTTTATTTCGCGTGAAAATAATCATTTACATTTCAATTTTATTTACCTTTCTACTCATTACTATTTTCTCCCAACAAATAAACAACAACGTAACCGTTAAATTTATCGATTTTTTTTTTTTTTTCATAAAAAATTTAGGACGTCACGAAAAAACGTTCGCCGCGTAAATAATATTTATTTTTTTTTTTTTTTAACGGTTATTCAAACATTTACGAAAAGTTCTAGAATCGAATGGAAGTAAATTAAAAATCATTTTTTACTAAAAATAAAATTTATATTATTAACTAAAAAAACAAAAAAAATAACAAAATAATTTTTTTTTCATAAGCTGCTGCGAATGATTCCAAAACGTGACGTTTTATTATTATTATTATTATTATTATCATTAAATTATTTTTAACTAATGGAAGGGAGCAAAAAAAAAAATGAGATCTGAGAATTTTTCCAAAACGATTAGACGTTCGATTGTGACTGTTTGTTCGATCGATCGATCAATCGTTCGATAGATCGATTTATTTATTCATCGATTGTCATTTTATGTTGATTCTTCTCTCTTTCTCTAACCTGTCTGTCTTTTTTTCACTTAATCTTAATATTGACTAATGTTCTCGGTTCGGAATCACCTTTTTTCTTATTTTTCTTTTTTTTTTTTTTTTGTTGTTGTTGTTGTTCGTTTTCCTAGACTATAATTTCCAAAAAAAAAACATTCTACGAACGTTCGTTTATCATTATTATTATTATTTATTTTCATCTATGGGAAAATAATCTAAATATGCTAGCGACTAAAAATCCAATTCCTATAACCACGTGATAACCTCCGTAAACTTTAAACTGAAAAAAAAAAAAAAAAAAAAAAAATTCGTTAGTCGAATTCGCATCATCAAATCATCATTATTATCATCATCATCATCATGGTAATCACCTGATTTCTAATATCCGTTTTTAAAGCACGAATGACTACGGCCGTGAGAATGGATTGTAAAACTAATGCTAAAAATGTATTTATACCAAAAACTAATCCGTGACTTCTTTCCTTTATGAATTTGGCTACTTCGTACCTACACACAAACAAACAAAACTTTTAAATAAAATCGTTTAAAAATCGATCGATCGATCGATCGATCAATCGAACGTCTTTTATCATAACCAATTACAATAGGGAATAGGTCAAAAAAATTAACCTATTTATTTAGAGGGCGTGAGTGCGTGGGTGGGTTATTAATTTGTCGCTGTTTAAAAACTTACGTTGCCACCGTTATGGCCGCGTTGTAAAATATTTGATAAATAAGATGCATTAAATAAGCTAAATATAATTTATTTATGTAAGCGCAATAATATAAAAAACATCCTTGGAATATCGTGAGAAATCCAAGCGAGATTTGACCCCATGAATTCCATTTCACGTTTATGTAACCGATAAGAAAACTAATTGCAGCACCTGTAACAATAAAAAAAATCGTTTATTCGAGAATCGATCGATATATCGATAGTATTATTATAATAAAAAAATGATTGATTACCCAAAACGGAAGATGCACAATCCACGTAACCGTTGTATAATTCTTCATTTGTTTTTTGAATTATATCTTCCCATAATAATTGACAGTACGAAATCACCTAAAAAATTTAAAAAATCATTTATATGAGTATTTCTTTTAATTAATTTCAGAGATTGGAAAATTGGAAAAAAACCGTTACGAACCTGCAAGTGACCGCATGACGCCATGGCCCACCAAATGCTCCACTGCAAAACGTAAGTGTTTGTAAATGCTTGTTTAAAATCCGCGTAAAAATTATTAAATGCTCTACGAAATTTCCCATTTATAAATTTTTTCTTTTTATAATCTACTATCGTTATGCTGCTGCTGTTGTTGTTGTCTATGTAATTGTTTTTCTTGTCTTTCTCCCCTTTGACCCCGTTCAATTCTGACACGTCTTGACAATCGGAATTATTACCCGTTATGTCTTCGGATGAATCTCTGTGAAAGTAAAGACTTTGACTCACTCCGGGTAGGAAAATTGACGTCAAAGTTCCCAAAGCCACTCCTGACAAAAAAAAATTATTGGTACAGGATTAAGGTGTTTCTCTCTCTCTCTCTCTCTCTCTCGTTTGCCCGTAGATTTGATTATTCTTATCAATCGCAGCATCCCCATTTCACCTCCTCTCTTTGTTTTTCACACACACACACACACACACACACACACACGCGCGATTGATAAGAATAATCAAGTCTCCGCCCAAACGAGTGTGTGTGTGCGCGTGCACGTGCACCTGTGTTATCAAAACTTACCGCCTAAAGTTAAATAATTAAGTTGTAAATAATTAATTAGGTTAAAGGTAACTAATAATTGTGACGAGAGACCAGCACTCGCATTCCCTAATAAAATGGCAGCTCTTGAATACCCTGTTACTTTCTGATAATGAACCTTATCGACTTTTGCATACATGTATGTAAAATAAGCCACTTCGCTTGCCATGAAAAAACCATAAAAAAATTCGACAATCTAAAAAAGAATAATTACATTATTATTATTATTATTATTATTATTATTATCATCATTAAATAATTTTCATCGTTCAAATGAAATGTTAAAAAAAAAAAATTTAAAACATTGAAAACTAATGATAATGATGATGATGATGGTAATGATAAGGGAGATGATAAGGGAGATGACGTCACATTTATTAAAATGTTACGAATTGATTGAATGATTGTTTTGTGTCGAGTTTGTATGCTATGGAAATTATTTGTCGATTTTTTGTTTACCTTCATTGTGTCTAATGTTTCTCCATAAATTAATAATATATAAGTTATCACAGCTGAAAAACCACCAGTCACAACAATTGGCTTATATCTCAAATAATCTGTGAGCAAAAATACAAGAATCAACAATCCAAGATAGAAATAAGTACCCAGAGGATAAATTTCTTGATTTATCTGTTTTTTAAAAAAAAATTTATAAAAATAAAATGAAAGCAAAAAGCAAAATTTCTATTAAACTTTTCTTCTTCTTCTTCTTCTTCTGTATTTTTTTCTTTTCTCATTCGACTCATTCGTAAAACCCCAAATTAAAAAAAAAAAAAAAAATTATTTCGATATGACAAACCTGTTCGATAGTGAAATTTTTATATTGTGTTAAAAATGGTGATATGAATGGTTCTGACGGTCTGTATTCTTTAAAAAATCCATGTGTGCTCAATAGTATTGATATTTGCCACCAATCCATTTTTTTTTTTTTTTTCTCTCTCTCTATTCGAATTGTATTTATTTGTCTTTTAAATTTATTATCGTCTTTACTAAATGTTACATCAATTAATTCTAAATTGCAAATTCATTTCTAATCGAATGTGTGTGTACACATATATATATACATGTGTCTATGTTTGTGTATATCTAAAAAAAAAAAAAAAAAAAAAAATTATGAATGTTTATATATAATTATCATGTTTTCCATCAGAAAATCAAACCAAAGTCAAATTATTCTTTTTTAAAATTTAACCTTATTAACGTAGAGCATAAATTTTCAAGGTAAATTTTAAATAATATGTTACCCCCTCCCCCCTTTCCCTTCCCCCACAATAAATATTTATTATAAAGGTTCAATGTGGTGGTGATAAAACATTCACATACACGAAAACGTTTATAAATTAATTAATTAATTTTAAAAAAAAAAAAATCAACGTGATACCGTTAAATAATAATAATAATATTTTTTTTTTCAATTAATCACAAAATAATTTCGTATTGTTTATCTTTTTTCCACAACATTCGATTATATATATACGTTTGACCTAAAAAAAAAAAAAAAAATTTTATTTAAAAATTTGCAATGTTTTACTTGTTTTTTATTTGTTTAACAAGGTTAGGTTATGTTTTTAAAATCATACGGTAACCGGCTTAACATTGGTTTAGATAAGAAATCGACGGATATATATATACGTACGTACGTACTTTATCGTTCGGAGGATTATTTAAAAATTTTCAAAAAAAAAATAATAATAAATAAATAATTCGTATCATTGATTTAACGATTAAATTTAAAACGCGTTTGTATAAAAATAATAATAATAATAATGTAAACGACCGAGGTTAAATAATAATAATAATAACGACAAATTGAATTTAAGAGGAGCCATCTTTAAAAAAAAAAAAAAAAAAAAAAAAATGCTTACCTGTGATGTCATTAAAGAGGTCAACCTCAAACGGAAATTTTCAGCAAAAAAAATTTATACGAATTTGTTTGTTTGTTTGTTTGTTTGTTTGTTGTTTGTTTGTTTTAATTTTCATCGCGTGTGTGTATCGAATTCGGGATATGATTAATAATATTTTAACGGAAAAAAATATACAATCAAGTTTTTTTTTTTTTTTTTCCGTTGATATTCGTTCGCGGTCGTTGAAATCATGTTTGAATATGATCACGTTTAAATCAAATCAAATTTGATGCGTTTCTTTTTTTTTTTTAAAAAAAAAAAACGGTTACATAACCACCACCGACAGCAATAAAATTGTTACTTACCCTTATTTAAATATTAATTTAAAATCTTTTTTTTTTTATTTCATGTATTACTAACGACAGATAACCGAAAATTGAAAATGTAAAAAATATAAGAAACGAAAAAATCAAAATGGACGAATGAAAAGTAACGCAATAACGTGTCAGTTACGTCATTTGCCTTATGGAAAATCTGATGCAAGAAATTTTGCTATTAAAATAAGGAAAAAGGTTATTATTATTATTATTATTATTATTATTATTATTATTATTATTATTATTATTATTATTATTATTATTATTATTATTCGAAGAAAAATAAGGCAACGCGAAAAAATATTTTAAATTAACGGTCGCGAGTATCGAATCGTCGCGTTTTAACCGTTGACAAAAACAAAACAAAAATTTAATACCTTATTATTGTTATTATTATTATTATTATTATTATTATTATTATTATTATTATTATTATTATTATTATTATCAATAAAACAAAACGTTAACGACCGAAAATAATAATAATAATAATTTTATTTATTTTTATTTTTTTTTTTTACCCCGAGACGTAATCGGATACCTTTTAAAAAAAAATTCGCACAAACACAAACGCGCACACCACGTTAAGATAAATATTTTTTTTTTTTTCTTTTGCTGAATTAACACAAATTTAAACAAAAAAAAAATTATTTTCAATGTCGTCGTTTTTTTCAAAAAAAAAGAATTAATTTAATTATAAATAAGAAAATGATAATGATAATAATAATAATACGTGACCACTATTGGTTAGAATACAACGTTCGTTAATGAAAATGACCGTTGGTGATGACGTAGACGACGACGACGACGACACCGACGACGACGACACCGACTACGACGATTACAAATATGATGATAATAATTATTATGGAAATTCCGTGGAAAATCACATGACGTCATTATTTTAATTTATATACATATACACGTTGAAATAATGATAATAATAATGATAATTGTTTCGTCACGAGTATATATTTTACAGAATTATAAAAAATTAAATTTTTTTTCATTTTAACGTTGAAACGTTAAAACGCGATGCGCGCGCACGTGTGACGTAATAATTATAAAAACAAAAATGGCGTCCGATGTAAATTTTTTTTTTTGTTTTAACTCTCGTTAAATTAATAAGAGAATAAAAATTGTAAATATTTATTATATTATAAAATAAATAAGTAAAACGAAAAGGATGAAAAGAAGGATTAATAATAATAATAATAATAATAATAATAATGATAATAGATATTGAACGATAGATAAATAAATATATATATAGATAAATAGATTGTTTAGTAATAATCTAGAATGTGAGATTATTATTTGTTTTTTGTTTAATGATTCAAAATCTTTTAATAATAATGATAATAATAATAATGATAAAAACACTTGAATATCAAAACAATTAATTAAATGTTCTTTTTTTATAATAATAATAATGATAATAATAATACTAAATAATAATAATAATAATAATAATAATGAAATAAATGATGTCTGAAGGTGAAAATTTGAAGGTTAATAATAATAATGAAAATTTATTTTAAGGAAAAGTGAATATATAATTTTCATTCAGTGAATGATGAATGAAAATAGAGAGTGAGTAATTAATTATTATTATAAATTTATGTATACATAACTATTAAGTGTGAAAAAATATTGAAAATACATTATTGGGATGATTATATTCACTGATTGATTGATTTATTGATTGATTGATTGATTGATTTTGTTGTTGATTTCAGGTTGTTTTACATTGACAATTGTTAGAAATAATTCAAGGGATGTGATGATGATGATGATGATAATGAAGAGTAATTGAAAAATAAAAATTTTAATGTTTGTTCAGGGATCAGATAATAATAAAAGTCTTATTGACTTGTTTGTTTGTTTGTTTTGCTAAACAATAAAAATAATAACAATGAAAGAAGACAACAACCAGATTCATATTGACAATTCATTATTATTATAAATAAAGATTTAAATTTTTTAATTAATTAACAGATAAAATATGGGCGTGACATGGAGGAAAAAGATACCAAAGGTGATTGTAAAATAGTAGCAAAAAAAAATGTTTTTAAAAAAATGATTAATTTAAAAACAATAACAACAACAACAACCTGTTAATGATTTAAATTGTTTATTTATTTTATTTTTTATTGTAAAAAATGTTTACAAAAATATTTTTTGTTTATTTTATTACAAATTCAATTAATAATAATAATAATAATAATTATTGTAAATAATTTTCAGGGTTTGCCCTCATGAAATTATTGTTAAGTATCATTTTACATAAAAGACAACAAACGACAAACAAAACAATTTTTTTTGTTAATGAAAAACAAAAGAGGAGGAAATAATGATGATGATGATGATGATGATAATGATATAAAAAATTAATTATGGAAAAAAAATGGCGAATGGATTTGTGAAGGATTGGAAAAAAGGTATCTTTTTACTATATCTATCTTTGTTTACCGTACCTATTTTTCTATGCGTTCCTACCCCTCCCCCCCAAACCACGAAGGGAGAAGGATGAGAAAAAATTACAAAAAAAAAAAAAAAAAAAAATTGTATGCATTTAAAAAGTTTCTGAGAGGATTTCAATCCGGCCCTGGTGAAAGCATTCCATCTTCCGTTATCTCTTCCTGACAGGGATTGTACTCGTGTATCAAAGATGGCGGCGGACTACCCTGCCGCATTCCCGGGAAGGGTGGCAAAGGGGGAAAGGGAAAGAGAAACGTTTTCAAGATTGATCTCGGTTATATCAAAGCTACCATTTCGAAATCCTTTTTTTTTTTTTTCTAAAAAAATCTTCCTTTTCTCTCTCTCTCTCTTAAATTCTTTTTCCTATTTTTTTTTTTTTTCATCTTTTTCTTCTTTGCTTTCTTTCTCTTTTCTTTTATCTGATTATGTTTTCATTATTTTATTGCGGAGAGATTTTCTTTATTTTCATTTTAGTTCTTTCTCTATATTTTTTTCTCTACTTTTTTTTTTTTTTTACTTCCATCGTTTCTCTCCTCTAATATCTTTCTTTCTTTTTTTTTTTTTTCTTCTGCTTTTCTCTTTCTCTCTTTTTCTACCAACCATCATTCTAATCGCGATTTTTTACTTTTTTTTTAGTTGACGGTTTGGGTAAAGGAAAATAACATTCGAATTCAATTCTTTAAATTTTCTTTTCCTTTCATTTTGTGCCCTTTTTTCTTTTTTTTTTTTTTTATCAAATTCGGTTTTCCGCCTTCTGTTTCTGTTTTAAGAACGATTCGTATCTTTCTCTCTCTCTCTCTCTCTCTCTCTCTCTTTACGGTTTTTATCTTTTACATTTTTTTTTTTTTTGCGATTAATCGGATTTAATAATTGGTTTCATTTAACCGGTTTTAAATACTAATATAATTTTTTAAATGGTGACGTCACGAGAAAAGTTCGTTACGGGTATTATAAGGGGGTGGGTGGGAAGGGAAGGAGATGGGAAGGGAAGACGAGAAGGGTAGCAAACGATAAATTTTATTTTTAAAAAAAAACATTCAATTAAATTAATAAATAAAAAAAAAAAAAAAATTATATTTTTAAAAGGGTTGATTTAAAAAAAAAAAAAAAATGATCGGGTAAAATAAGGGATGTTAAAAAAAAATGGCGGCGGTTTGCGGTGGTTCGCTTGCGGGTAGACTATCTCACGAAGTTAAAAAAAAAAAAAAAAGAAATAA